AGCAGCCGTGGGTTTGAATCCGAACTCCACCTTTGCTGTGTGCCCTTCCCCCGTTCTCTCTCCGCCCAACACTTCCCTTCAGTTGTCCTCTCCATTAACGAATTTCATGACCCAAAATATAACTTCAAAATGAAAGACTAGGGGGATACACACAGGAAACAGGAACAGGAAGATAGAAATTACAAAAGAAAACAAAGGAGCAAAGACACAGAGACGAAAACATCAAGATACAAATAATAAAGAGATCATTTGACATCTACTTAACAAAATAAAGCTTCATATTTAAAGGGTCACCTGACAGAAGTGTGACATCATGAGACTGATGACGTGTTTAAAGTCAGCGGGTGTACGTCGTTCCTCTTACCTGGGCGTCTGCAGGATAGCGGCCTACGTGTAGCTCTGAAGATGACATAGCTGGTGACCACGGAGAACATCCCCACATGGACAGAAACCTCCACCAGTACAGCTTGATGGTGAAGTAAAGAGGAACCACCCACATCTGGACCAGAGTCACCAGCTGTGGAAACACGGCCCGTTAAATTTGTTTACTGTCATTAGTTAAACCTCAGCGCTCGCTCGTTACGTTATTCTGGTGCTGAATCAGGATCAGACCAAAGCCGCCCCCCCCCCCACAGTGGTTTCAGTGTCTGTAACCCCCCCACACACTCACATTGTAGGAGCGGTGGGGCGCTGCTTCCACTGCACCAGGACGATCTGCGCCACCACCAGCTGCGATGAGGATCAGCACCATTCTCAGCGTGCATGGCCTCGTGACCCCTGTGCTTCACGTGCATGCGCTCATGCTGAACCCTGCAGAGAAACCGGTCAGGGAGGAACAGGGGTAAATCACAGAGTCATAGATTTAGGTTTACGGTGAGAGAAACAAGATGAACTCACCGCCAGTTCTCTCTGTGAGTCATCTTCAGCAGGTCGTCCTGAAACAGAGGCGGGACGCAAATATCATCTGAGAGTTGTCAGGGTCTCACGGGACCCTTTAATATGGACTACTGCTCCTTTAATACTCTTTAATGTAGGTTAACACACCGTATTTATTTACAGTGGATCCCCATTAGTTGTTACCGTAGTAACAACAGGTCCATACAAGCAAAACAACAACAACATGATTAAACAAATCACAACATGAGTGAAGAAAATAAAATCACAAACAAAATGGTTAAAACAGCAGTTTAAATAATAAGCATTAAAACTTGACTTTTTCTGCCTTGGCCGATCAAATATCAGAAATATATGTCAGAACAAAGCTGCTCCTAAGCCCTAACCCTGTGTTAGCCGATCAAATATCACAACTATATGTCAGAACAAAGCTGCTCTTAAGCCCTAACCCTGTGTTAGCCGATCAAATATCAGAAATATATGTCAGAACAAAGCTGCTCCTAAGCCCTAACCCTGTGTTAGCCGATCAAATATCAGAAATATATGTCAGAACAAAGCTGCTCCTAAGCCCTAACCCTGCGTTAGCCGATCAAATATCAGAAATATATGTCAGAACAAAGCTGCTCCTAAGCCATAACCCTGTGTTAGCCGATCAAATATCAGAAATATATGTCAGAACAAAGCTGCTCCTAAGCCCTGACCCTGCGTTAGCCGATCAAATATCAGAAATATATGTCAGAACAAAGCTGCTCGTAGTTTATTCCGGTTCTCTTTAAAGCTTTGGATTTAGGTAACGTGAAGTTATTTGTGTATGTAAGCTGGTATAATATATATGTATACATATATAAGTATATAATATACATATATAAGTATATAATATATAAATATATAATTTAAAGTATATAATATATAAATATATATCATATATATGTATATAAGTATATATCAAATATATATATATGATATATAAGTATATAATATATGATATCTATAAGTATATAATATATTATATATATAAGTATATCATATATTATATATATAAGTATATAATATATCAAATATATACGATATATATGATATATAAGTATATAATATATGATATATATAATATATAAGTATATAAGTATATAATATATTATATATAAAATATACTATATATATAATATATATATACGTATATATAATATACGTATATATAATACATATATATGTATAAGTATATAATATATAATATATAAGTATATCATATAATATACACATATAATATATATAGTATATTTATATATAATATATAAATTATATACGTATATATAATATACGTATATAATATGTATAAGTATATAATATATTATATACTTATATTATATACGTATATATGTATAAGTATATAATATAAGTATATAATATATATATGTATAAGTATATAATATATATATAAGTATATAATATATATATGTATAAGTATATAATATATATATATGTATAAGTATATAATATACATATATATATGTATAAGTATATAATATATATATGTATAAGTATATAATATATATATAAGTATATAATATATATATATGTATAAGTATATAATATATATATAAGTATATAATATATATGTATAAGTATATAGTATATATATGTATAAGTATATAATATATATATATAAGTATATAATATATATATATATGTATAAGTATATAATATATATATACATATAGATGTATAAGTATATAATATATATATATATGTATAAGTATATAATATATATATAAGTATATAATATATATGTATAAGTATATAATATATATGTATATATATGTATAAGTATATAATATATATATGTATAAGTATATAATATATGTATAAGTATATAATATATGTATAAGTATATAATATATATATAAGTATATAATATATATATGTATAAGTATATAATATATGTATAAGTATATAATATATGTATAAGTATATAATATATATATAAGTATATAATATATATATGTATAAGTATATAATATATGTATAAGTATATAATATATATATAAGTATATAATATATATATGTATAAGTATATAATATATGTATAAGTATATAATATATATATAAGTATATAATATATATATGTATAAGTATATAATATATGTATAAGTATATAATATATATATAAGTATATAATATATATATGTATAAGTATATAATATATATATAAGTATATAATATATATATGTATAAGTATATAATATATATATAAGTATATAATATATATATGTATAAGTATATAATATATATATAAGTATATAATATATATATGTATAAGTATATAATATATGTATAAGTATATAATATAAGAGTGTTCTTCATGTATTTATGTTTCTCTCCTGAAGCAGCTGGATCTTATCCAGACTAAACTTTTTAACACCTTTAATGAAGGTTAATAAACCTTTATGAATAGCTTTTAAAGATATAATATAAATAACATGATAAATCAAACAGAAACCGACCGCTTCTGTTTGTTATTATATATTATATATTATAGTTATTATAGATTATATATTATAGTTATTATAGATTATAGTTATTATAGATTATATATTATAGTTATTATAGATTATAGTTATTATAGATTATATATTATAGTTATTATAGATTATATATTATAGTTATATATTATAGTTATTATAGATAAACATATAAATATATATATCAGAGCAGAGCAGCTAGCTGCTGTTCACACCTTAAACATCGTTTTCTCGCCGTGTTACTGAATTTAAACGATGAACGCGTCATCCTGCGGGATGTGAGCAACTCTCACGTTACGGTATTAACTCACCTGAGGATGCACTCCCGCCATTGTTTACCTGTCCTCCTCTCCCGGCGATTAGCAGCTATGCTAGCTAACCGGAGATTAGCAGCTATGCTATCTTTGACAGCGTCTGTGAGGCGGAGGGAGTACGGGAGGCCGAGAGGGACAAACTTCATACCATCGATAAAAACACGTGAACTAGAAGTCTTCATTCTTCTAAATATAATTTATACTCCAACAGGTTAGGCTATTGTTAAGTACGTGATGTTAAACACTAATAAAAACACTTTGAAAGACAAAGTGTCACATTATACAATTCATATAAATATTCTGGTTTAAAGAACACAAAACTACAAAGAGAATCATTTATAAAATAAAAAGCACCTATAGAAATGTCTGAGGCTGGTTTCTAATGTTTCATGTTTTTATTTATTTATACACATCTAAATACAGAATATATATACACATCACTCTGAACTTTTCTTTACTGTGAACTCAAAACATTATGAAATCAAAGTTCACACTTTACATGACCTCACATCTTTTACCATTTATAAAGAAGCTTTCAGGGGACCCGAGGACGCTTTAGACCGAGGAGAGGTCACACAGTACAGTCCTACAGACGGGTCACGACCCTAAACAGTCCTACAGACGGGTCACGACCCTAAACAGACACCAACAGTCCTACAAAAGTCTGATACACTTTTGAAACATTTTTATTTTGTTCCAAGATCCAAACTGTACAAATGTTCATTAAATATTTAATTCTCACTAGATTTAATTTTCATTGGGGGGGGGGGGTCGATCCTGAGGCGAGACACGATGAAATTTGGTGATCCACAGAAAACACGAGCTGAAGAAGACAAAGAAGAGCAGGATCATCTCTAACTTTGAGATGTTCATCGAAGACCTGAGGAACAGAAAACAAACATTAACCGACTGAACTTCAAACTCAAGTAGAAATTATAGTTTAATCATAGTCGCTCAGACATCCAAGGAAGGTTTGGACCGTCTCTGGTCGTTTAGACCTCTGGTGGAAACTACGAATGGCAGGAAGAAGCTTCATCACAGCGACAGGGCGGACACTTCACACGGTTTGATAAACGTCTTGACCGAGAAGAACTTCTAACCCAAAGTGTCAGAAATCAAATGATCTATACGTACCCCTTCAGCAGGCTTTCACGAGTCCACAGAGTCCACAGAGAGGTTCAGCCTGGAACAGAGACGCAGATAAAGTCACTTCTTAAAGCACACATTATTTTACACTTACAGACGGCTTCTCTTTCGCTCAGACATCCAAGGAAGGTTTGGACCGTCTCTGGTCGTTTTGACCTCTGGTGGAAACTACGAATGGCAGGAAGAAGCTTCATCACAGCAAACAGAGGGTGGTTGATCACAACAGCCACATTTTAACTCAGTAGTCAGTGTTTCCCACAGAAGGACGCTGTACCTGGGCGTGGGATTGTTCAGGCGCCAACGTGCAGTTTGCTCTGAAGGGTGAAGCCACTGACAGCCTGGACTGATTTAACCCCTGCTCATAATAATGTCAGAGCCATATTGAGAGCTTTTATTTTGAAGGCATACAGAGGTGGAAGTGCTCTAAATACTGCGGCGCAGCTACCACCAACACCCAGCAGACGACCATTTCTTCACTCTGCGTGACTGTTAGCGCCCCCTGTCTGTGAGTTAGACTCTTTTTAAATGAGGCAGCTTCACAGATGAAGAGACGATTAACCCTTTAATGACTGAATAACATAAATCCAAACAGCAGCGAGTTCGCTCTGCAGCACAGTTAACAGCTGCATGACGTCAGCTGCAGGAAAACATTAAAACAGAAGCTTCTGTTTTCACACGAGATGTTCCACCTCAAACAGGGCATCAATGGGAGGGGGGGGACTCTCTGGAAATATATCCGGGTGGAAGTTAATATATTTTGTGCGGCCCTGTCCAGGTATCGTCTGTGTGTGGGAAACACTGAAGTTAAAAGAAGCATCACTCACCAGGAAACACCAACAGCTGATTTTTTCTTTGACTGGACAGAAGCTAAGAAACATGGCCGACAGGGTCTTCCAAACTGTAGGTGAAATTATGGAAGGTTTTGAACTTCAATACGCCACAACAACGATCAATCTTAACTTCCGTAAAGTCGCTCAGACATCCAAGGAAGGTTTGGACCGTCTCTGGTCGTTTAGACCTCTGGTGGAAACTACGAATGGCAGGAAGAAGCTTCATCACAGCGACAGGGCGGACACTTCACACGGTTTGATAAACGTCTTGACCGAGAAGAACTTCTAACCCAAAGTGTCAGAAATCAAATGATCTATACGTACCCCTTCAGCAGGCTTTCACGAGTCCACAGAGTCCACAGAGAGGTTCAGCCTGGAACAGAGACGCAGATAAAGTCACTTCTTAAAGCACACATTATTTTACACTTACAGACGGCTTCTCTTTCGCTCAGACATCCAAGGAAGGTTTGGACCGTCTCTGGTCGTTTTGACCTCTGGTGGAAACTACGAATGGCAGGAAGAAGCTTCATCACAGCAAACAGAGCGCAGGAAAACACTATTTGACTTGATGTGAACAACTCGGCTCAAATTAATTTATGTTTGTTATAAACTTAAAAGATAGAGTCAGTAGCATGTTTCCTTCAAAATAAAATACAGACTTCTCCTTCAAAATAAAACAGTCTTCTCCTAAAGTGAAGCTGCTCCATTGTCCCTTCTGGGCCTCCATACATTATTTAAATAGTGAAATCATTATTTAAATAGTGACATCATTATTTAAATCATTATGTAAATCATTATTTAAATAGTGAACTCATTATTTAAATCATTATTTAAATAGTGACATCATTATTTAAATCATTATTTAAATAGTGAACTCATTATTTAAATCATTATTTAAATAGTGAACTCATTATTTAAATCATTATTTAAATAGTGACATCATTATTTAAATAGTGACATCATTATTTAAATAGTTAAATCATTATTTAAATAGTGAAATCATTATTTAAACAGTTAAATCATTATTTAAATAGTTAAATCATTATTTAAATAGTTAAATCATTATTTAAATCATTATTTAAATACTTAAATCATTATTTAAATAGAGGGAGAAAGGTTTTATAATAATGCAGATATTTGTTATATTTTCTGTTGTTAATTTAAAGTAGTGATTTCAGTCGGGACTTTAACTCTAGATTAAAAATTGATTCAATTAATCCACGCTCGTTTGTTTTGATTTGGAGGCGGATGTGAAGTGACGATTTACGTTTAATTTCACAAAGCATTGTGGGTAAAATACAATTCATTTCCTGAAAGGACGCATCCAATCCATACTGCATGAAACCAGGAAGTTAGTATCCATACTGAAATGTTCAGTATACTGAGGTGGACCCAAACAATGACCACTGAATGACCACGAGGGTTCAGTATACTGAAACTCTACTGAAAAGTACTGACTACTGAACTGTGGATATTCAGGAAGGGTCACTGTGTCTGCACAGACTCTGTCCTCTCACTGGATTTGACTGTTCTAATTTGTTCTGGTTGACTCGGGACGTTTCTGGGCGGAGCTGGTGTGTTTCCTCCAGCCAATGAGAGCGCAGCAGGTGAGTTTAGGAGTGGATACAATTCAGTGATTGGACGAGATTCAAAGCGGTGAATATGACGGACGTGGACGTAGCAGCAAAGAAGAGAAAACATAATGAGAGTGAGGAGAAACACCAAGTGGATAAAGATCGTTCTGAAACGAGGGTGAACCTTGTGTTGGACGTGGAGTTGATCTACTTCCTGTTGGACAGACACCGGCGGTTAGCTTGTGCTAGCTACAAGCAGTAACCGTACACACTATGTCCTGCAGGGGGCGGGGCTTCTGGGAGCGCTGAGCCCAGGAGGAGGGGCCACGTTCACAAACATTTCTACTGACTCTGTCTTTAAATTTTTAGAATCATCGATGAAATCTGCAGGTGAATGTTAAAACTCACCTGTGTCCAGGTGTACGGACCCCGACGACTTAAAGTCAGACAGAAGAAGAAAGATGACTCTCTCTACGGTGTCCCTGAAGGTCAGCATCGTCACAGGCGGCGTCCTCCACCGATGAATGAACATGTGAGACCTAAAGAAGAAGAAATGTTCAGTAATGTGTTTTTAAATAAAGTGTGTTAGTGAGACGTTAACCAGCTGATGCTTCAAACACTTTAAAGGTTTTCTATTTGATTCATCTCATTTTAATCTTTAAACTCCCTCAGGACTGTGTTTTAAATCACATTCAGCTTAATGAAGAAAAGAAATATCACATGTTCGAGTTCTTCTGCAGGAAATCATTTTCACTAAATCACCACCCTTCATCTTTAAACATTTTAAACACTTTAACCTGCTTTTTCAAACAGCCTGTTGCTCTCCACTGTCTCAGCATGTTGGATCAATCTACGACCATCGGCTGAAATAACTCATCATTAACGGTCACATCCGGTCACATCGGACTCTTCATCAAGTCAGTCATCAATAAAGTCTTTCATTTCCAAGATTAAAGTCAACAAATCGTTAAATTACCACAAATTCAGACAAACGGCTCTTTCTCCTCTTCCTGCTGCTCCCGGTACTCTGACTCTCCCGCTTCTTCTCCTCACGCATGCGCATCCTCTTCTTTTTAACACGAGCTGCTACACAGCGCCATACCGCCACCTGCTGGACCGGAAGCTGAACTGTCTACACGCCATACCGCCACCTGGACCGGAAGCTGAACTGTCTACACAGCGCCATACCGCCACCTGCTGGACCGGAAGCTGAACTGTCTACACAGCGCCATACCGCCACCTGCTGGACCGGAAGCTGAACTGTCTACACAGCGCCATACCGCCACCTGCTGGACCGGAAGCTGAACTGTCTACACAGCGCCATACCGCCACCTGCTGGACCGGAAGCTGAACTGTTTGCACACTTAGTACACTAACACTTTCTAATCCTTTTTAATGTTATTAATTCTAAATGTAACTTTATTATAATATAATTATATTTATTCTATTAAGTTAATATTTTTTAATGCAAAGGTTTATTAATGATTTGAAAATAGTTATTTATATTATACTTTATTATTTTAGAGTTAAAGAAAGTAAAGTGATCTAAAACAAATTAAGAAAATTAAAAACAACAAAAACAACAGAATAATAAAAAGTAGTAAATACAAAAATGAACAAACTAATGAACATTTTAATCAGAAATTTAAAATGAAGATAAATCAGTATGAGATTTAATAAAAATAAAAACAATCATAATAATGTGTAAATGACCTCAGTCCTTTTTATGGCTTTTAAATATTTCAATAAATCTGATCAATGAAAAAAACAACTCTTTTTATTTAAGTTAAAATAATCAACAACAATGATGATGTACCATTTTAGTCTGCTGCTTCCTTTTCTCAGAACAAATCACAAAAAGAGCTGAAACTCAACAAGCTTCTCTGATTGGAGGATTTTATGGGACCTGGAGGCGGACACATCTGGCTGCAGATGTTCTTCCTGATGTGTTTGTGGACGATCTAAAGAGACGTTTGATGTTTAAATTTGTTATTTGTGTGTTTGGCTGCTGGTTGTTTGTGTGAAACTGTTTTCTGAAAAAATTGTAAATAAAAATAAATAAAATGTCCTTCTTAGAATAAACATGCAGCGCTGTGTCAGAGAGAGAGAGAGAGAGAGAGAGAGAGAGAGAGAGAGAGAGAATCGTACGCCCTCTATCTTCTAACTGACAGACTGATGAACCAGTCAACTCTCTTATCTCTCCCTCATCTTGCTCCTTATTGGTCGATGCTGCAGCGAGGCTCACCCCCCACTCCCCCTCCCCCCTTCAAGCTGTGCTGCTGCAAGCTGCTGGTGTTGCCGTGACGATGATATCCTCCCTCCCACTCCCACAGACACACAGCAGAGAGGAGAGGAGAGAGAGAGAAGGAGCAAACAAGACACTATCATGACGCCGTGGCTCCAGGCTGGAAAACAGAAACAGTCACACTGACAGGGGGCTGCGTCTGAGGAGGACATGGTGAGTGCTGGATCTGTGTTTTAGGGGTGGAGGGCTGAGAGAGGACAGATGGGTGGATGGACAGAGGATGGATGGAGGAATGCTGAAGATGACAGCAGCATCTGTAGCATCTGGGAGAGAGAGCGAGGAGAGGATGGACAGATTGCGGGATGAAGGGTGGAGGATAAATGTCAGAACGCCACCTCAGCTGTAGAGCAAATACAAGTGTGTGTGTGTGTGTGTGTGTGTGTGTGGTGTGTGTGTCATCAGGCCGTATGTGCTGAACGTTAGCATCCTGAGTGCTAACAGTAACAGCAGGTACGTCACTTCTGTTCCACTCTGGTCTTCACAGCTCTGATGGATTACATTTGGAGCAGACAGGAGAAGGCTGAGCGACGTATTAACCAGGACGGTTTCATTCATGTATGTTTCAGTTGGAGAGCTGATTTAATGACTTCATGTAGACTCCAAACTACCACAAATATAAACAGAGCGTTAATGAAGTGGCACAGATGGAGGTGCTGGTCAGGCTCGTCATTCAGGTTTCCACTGAGGCCTTCAGCACGTCTTCAGTCTCTCCTCCCTGGATCCTCCAAGATCTCTCTTAACATCTTCTAAAGGCTTTAAAGAATCCTCACCAAAGCAGTGGTACCTAACAAAAACATAACCACAGTCTTTATCAGTCTGAGTCCTCTTCGTCTTCTGAGTCCAAATGCAGTAAGAGCTCAAGTCCAAGTCCTGTGACGAGTCCTCAAAATCACGGCTCGGGTCTCACTGTAGTCCAAGTCCAGGACTCAAGTCCTACAACACAAAGTAACCAAACCGATGGAAACAATTACATGGACTCTGAAGAAGACCGACTGAGACTCAGACACAACCACAAAGACACACAACCACAAAGACACACAACCACCACTAAGACACAACCACTAAGACACACAACCACTAAGACACACAACCACCACTAAGACACAACCACAAAGACACAACCACTAAGACACACAACCACCACTAAGACACAACCACTAAGACACACAACCACTAAGACACACAACCACCACTAAGACACACAACCACTAAGACACACAACCACTAAGACACACAACCACCACTAAGACACAACCACAAAGACACACAACCACCACTAAGACACAACCACAAAGACACACAACCACCACTAAGACACAACCACTAAGACACACAACCACTAACACACACAACCACCACTAAGACACAACCACAAAGACACACAACCACCACTAAGACACAACCACAAAGACACACAACCACCACTAAGACACAACCACTAAGACACAACCACAAAGACACACAACCACCACAAAGACACACAACCACCACTAAGACACACAACCACCACTAAGACACACAACCACCACTAAGACACAACCACAAAGACCACAACCACCACTAAGACACAACCACAAAGACACACAACCACCACAAAGACACACAACCACTAAGACACACAACCACCACTAAGACACACAACCACTAAGACACACAACCACCACTAAGACACACAACCACAAAGACACACAACCACCACTAAGACACACAACCACTAAGACACACAACCACCACTAAGACACACAACCACTAAGATACACAACCACCACTAAGACACACAACCACCACTAAGACACACAACCACTAAGATACACAACCACCACAAAGACACACAACCACCACTAAGACACACAACCACCACTAAGACACACAACCACCACAAAGACACACAACCACCACTAAGACACAACCACCACTAAGACACACAACCACTAAGACACACAACCACCACTAAGACACACAACCACCACTAAGACACACAACCACTAAGACACACAACCACCACTAAGACACAACCACCACTAAGACACACAACCACTAAGATACACAACCACCACAAAGACACACAACCACCACTAAGACACACAACCACCACTAAGACACACAACCACTAAGATACACAACCACCACTAAGACACACAACCACCACTAAGACACACAACCACTAAGACACACAACCACTAAGATACACAACCACCACTAAGACACACAACCACCACTAAGACACACAACCACTAAGACACACAACCACCACTAAGACACACAACCACCACTAAGACACACAACCACTAAGACACACAACCACTAAGATACACAACCACCACAAAGACACACAACCACCACTAAGACACACCACCACTAAGACACACAACCACCACTAAGACACACAACCACCACTAAGACACACAACCACTAAGACACACAACCACCACTAAGACACACAACCACCACTAAGACACACAACCACCACTAAGACACACAACCACCACTAAGACACACAACCACCACTAAGACACACAACCACCACTAAGACACACAACCACTAAGACACACAACCACTAAGACACACAACCACCACTAAGACACACAACCACCACTAAGACACACAACCACCACTAAGACACACAACCACCACTAAGACACACAACCACCACAAAGACACACAACCACCACTAAGACACAACCACCACTAAGACACACAACCACTAAGACACACAACCACCACTAAGACACAACCACCACTAAGACACACAACCACTAAGATACACAACCACCACAAAGACACACACCACCACAAAGACACACAACCACCACTAAGACACACAACCACTAAGATACACAACCACCACAAAGACACACAACCACCACTAAGATACACAACCACCACTAAGATACACAACCACCACAAAGACACACAACCACCACTAAGATACACAACCACCACTAAGATACACAACCACCACAAAGACACACAACCACCACTAAGACACACAACCACCACTAAGACACACAACCACTAAGACACACAACCACCACTAAGACACACAACCACCAATAAGACACACAACCACCACAAAGACACAACCACTAAGATACACAACCACCACTAAGACACACAACCACTAAGACACACAACCACCACTAAAACACACAACCACTACAAAGACACACAACCACCACTAAGACACACAACCACCACTAAGACACACAACCACCATTAAGACACACAACCACTACAAAGACACACAACCACTAAGACACACAACCACCACTAAAACACACAACCACTACAAAGACACACAACACCACTAAGACACACAACCACCACTAAGACACACAACCACCATTAAGACACACAACCACTACAAAGACACACAACCACTAAGACACACAACCACCACTAAAACACACAACCACTACAAAGACACACAACCACCACTAAGACACACAACCACCACTAAGACACACAACCACCACTAAGACACACAACCACAAAGACACAACCACCACTAAGACACACAACCACCACTAAGACACACAACCACTACAAAGACACACAACCACTACAAAGACACACAACCACTACAAAGACACACAACCACCACTAAGACACACAACCACCACTAAGACACACAACCACAAAGACACACAACCACCACTAAGACACAACCACCACTAAGACACAACCACTAAGACACACAACCACCACTAAGACACACAACCACCACTAAGACACACAACCACCACTAAGACACACAACCACTACAAAGACACACAACCACCACTAAGACACACAACCACTAAGACACACAACCACCACTAAGACACAACCACCACTAAGACACACAACCACAAAGACACACAACCACAAAGACACACAACCACCATTAAGACACACAACCACCACTAAGACACAACCACTAAGACACAACCACAAAGACACACAACCACAAAGACACAACCACAAAGACACACAGCCACTACTAAGACACAACCACCAATAAGACACACAACCACCAATAAGACACACAACCACTAAGACACACAACCACTAAGACACAACCACAAAGACACACAGCCACTACTAAGACACAACCACCAATAAGACACACAACCACCAATAAGACACACAACCACCAATAAGACACACAACCACTAAGACACACAACCACCACTAAGACACACAACCACCAATAGACACACAACCACTAAGACACACAACCACCAATAAGACACAACCACCATAAGACACACAACCACTAAGACACACAACCACACTAAGACACACAACCACAAAGACACACAACCACAAAGACACACAACCACTAAGACACACAACCACCACTAAGACACACAACCACAAAGACACACAACCACAAAGACACACAACCACAAAGACACACAACCACTAAGACACACAACCACCAATAAGACACACAACCACCAATAAGACACACAACCACAAAGACACAACCACCATTAAGACACACAACCACCACTAAGATACACAACCACTAAGATACACAACCACCACTAAGACACACAACCACCAATAAGACACACAACCACAAAGACACACAACCACCAATAAGACACACAACCACCACTAAGACACACAACCACTAAGATACACAACCACTAAGACACACAACCACCAATAAGACACACAACCACCAATAAGACACACAACCACCAATAAGACACACAACCACCAATAAGACACACAACCACTAAGACACAACAATTTCAAAACATCATAGATTATGCTCCCGACCCCCCCTCTCTAGAGTCGATGCTCATGCAGCTTGCCATGTGTGGACATCTTAACAGTCATTAGTCATCTGTATTCTTGAACGAGAAAGAAGAAGAAAGAAAGAAAGGGTTAATTTGTCTCTCCATAAGTGACAGTTACAGAGAGTCACCAGTGTCACAAGGCCCGGAGACACACACACACGCGCGCGCACACACACGCACACACACACATAATCCTCTGCAGCGGTTTCACTGCAGGGATTCCTTGAATGAGGGTGTGGGTGTATCCGTTGTGTCTGCATGGTTTTTGTGTAACATGTCGTTAGCAGTTGGTATAAATTAAATTATGTGTTTATTTTTTATTAGAGACAAAAAGCAGAAGATATGAGAGGAACAGGAGACCAGCGATATCTGTGAGTCTAGACGGACATTAAATATGTATTTGTTCGTGTAAGACGACTTTGGTATCAGCAAGGTCGTAGCTGTTAAAATAGGATTATATAGAAGATCACAGGCGGCTCCTTCCCCCTTTATACATTATTCATAAGAAACTCCAGTTTTTATTTTACACACAGACGTGTTGAAAATGTAGTCAGACACATGAAACGTAGACAGACAACAAAACAACACAAAAGAAAAGAAGTGAGACAGAAAGAAGAACAACGGGAACGAAAATATAAAAGCATCTCATGAGAGGAAGAACACATTTAGTGTAATGTAATCATCATTAGTTTACTCTGTAAAAGGTATTACATTAAAACTAGAGGTGTACGGTTCATTATTCACAGAGCTGAATTGTGATTCCTAAATGGTTCACAAACTAGGGTGGTTAGAGCCGACTGGTTAGAGGGATGTATTGTTTGGTGTCATCTACATAAAAATGGAAATTAATATTGTTTATCCAATAATGTGACCCAAAGGAAACATGCATAAGGAAAATAATAATGTGCCGTGAATTGAACCCTGGGGAACACCGCATGTGAGGGGGGCAGAGGATGAGGAAACTTCTCCCATAGCAACAGAGAAAGATTTGAGAATTATAAAATGTTTTTATTATTTGTATTGATCCTTTATTTTAGCAGGGAGGACCCACTGAGACCGACGCTTGTCTTCTGGATACCCTCTGTGTTTCTTAGTCATATGTGAATGTTTGTCAGCAAACTTTATTTAGAAATTATTCCTTGTGGTTGCTCATTTCTTTCCGTTAGCCTGATTTATTTCTTTTCAAAACTGTGTTGCATATTTAACTAACTTGACCACGGAGCCTTGCATGTTAGAAGGTGACGTTAATGGGGAATCTTTGCATGTCATCATATTTTGAACTTTAGGGCCACAGACTAAGCTGCTGTATTTGGGAGTTGGGAGTAAGAACACGTTTCAATGAGTTGGTGTTGATACTGATTCTGTATCATCACGTCTGTGTCACTCATGAACTGGGACATTTACCATAGTGAATACTGCTGTGATCAATTCTGCTCTTTGAAGCGCACAGATGCTTAAATTTAGGATTTGAGGAAAGAGACCGTGACTGCTTCACTTTTTGTTGTATCTCATCCTCATCCCCTCCCTAGGCAGTCTGGTACCATGGTAACCACTGCCTCACCCCTATCTCTCTCTCTCTCTCTCTCTCTCTCTCTCTCTCTTTCCATGACTTTGAAGACATTCGTGTGACCTACATTACTGCTCCTAGAAGATCTTTATTGCTACCTTCTCCTCTGTTGGTCCTACCTGCTGCACAACCGTCCTTCCCCCAACTCCGGATTGAACCATCTGCTCCTGGTACTGCTGACATGTTCTTACTACGGACTATACCATCTGGAGTGTTATCAGGGGTTTTCAGTGATCTGATGAACCACCTGGAGGGAACATATGGGCATTCCTATAGTGAGAATAACAGACTGTTTGTGTGTTTGGGTCCAGTGTTGGCTAGAGCTCTCAGGAAGGTCACGGAAAAAACTAAAATCAGTCCAAGATGCACATTTCCTATATAATTATTAAAACAACTGTTCAAATACATTGCTTCTTAATCTATGAATCCTTCACCAATTTACTTGTTGTACTTGAGGGTTACATGTGTGGTTTTGGTCTCGATCACTGAAAACCTTGGTCTGGTCTTGGTTTTGATATACTCCATTCTTGGTCATGACTTGATCTTGCCTATGGTGGTCTTGATTTCATTCCTAACAATCAAAGTTGAAAGGGTACAATCAAGGACAGGAAAGAACTAGAAGACTTCTTACCAACAACCGTCTAATTTTTATCTGTTTTCTAACTCAATCCTCATCATTGTCTTGTCCGCCCCTCCCCCCCCTCTCCAGGGCACAGGGGATGTAGGCTGCTCTCAGTTTGGATACTCTGAGAATTACATCAACATCAAAGTCCATTGCGTTTCCCTACATCAGACCTGAAGAGACGGATTTTGTTGTTTTAAGGGACATATGCTGCTCTGGGAATAAGAAACATATCGATGACGAAAGGCATTTTAAATGGGAACATTGGGAGTTCTGGATGTCTTGCCCCTTATTAAATCATTCAGAAGTCAGTAGTGGATTGTACACTAAAATAACAGAAAAACAAATCTAAATCTGATCTTCAGCACTCTTTCCTGGGTGTTGTGTGGAAAAGTCTTGCAGGAAGGGGTTACAACCCTCTAATTGTGATTGCAAGATCCAGAAAAGGGTGTGTCTGAATGTCTTGGCCCTCCGTATGTCTACAGAAATGCATCCAATTTTCACAACAAAAGCCATGCCTTGCCTAAAATCCATCAGTTTCAAATACTCTTAAGAAGTTAATGTGAATGATTTTCACCGTCCTCTCTGATGCATAATGGAATGAATTGTGAGACAAAGAGATAAAAAAAACCTTGTATCTGAACAAGCCCCCTCTCCTGGCTACACTGTGGCATAAGGGGTGTGTTTGGAGGTTCACCCCCAGCTGGCTGGCGCTCGCAGATGGAGGCCCACCAACACTCCCCAGATAGCAGCAGCGAGGAGTGCACCGTCCTGGAGGCTCCACCCGGCAAAAATGCCTGCCCACAACATTCAGGGAAGGTAGGAAAGTGACTTCAAAAGGGCTCACCAATCTGTGTTTCCATTTCCGTCTAATAAATGTGTGGTGATAACATGTGCAATATCTCTATAATGCACACGCCTCACTGTGAAAACACTTCTCAGGGAAGGCTGGATGTTAATGCCTAGGCAAGATAATATCACGCACCTAAACTGTCACCTTCTAGTCCTTTTTATGCAACACAACACACGGAAAATCCTAGAAAACATCCAGCTAACCCATTTTTCAAAGACCTAGACACTTTTCTATACCTACCTCCCCTGTTTACAAACAGAATTACAAGCTCTGTTACACCTTTCCACTTACCATCCGCAGGTGGCAGACCACTACTGTTCAGCATGCGAGTGTGCGCTGTGTGAGGACTGTGTAGGGGACCATGTAGAGCACCCTAAAGTACCCCTCAGCCAGGCCCTGGAGCAGCACCGGAGCAGCCTGCAGGAGAGCCTGGGGACTATCCAGAGCAGGTAGAAATCTATGTTTTAAATTGTCCTTATTTGGCATTGTACAAAAACTGTTAAGTCAATGTGATGGCTTTTTTGAAGGGTTTCATTGCCACATGACCAATGAACCCTTACCTCCCAAAGTCACAAGGACACAGACTTCTCATTTCAAAGTATTTGTCTTACTTTGTAAAATGATACAGTGTGGTAGGTACCCTGTAGCTGGAAAGGTGAAGTACATGTTTTAGACTAAACATTTCACTTTAACTGTGAAAACAAAGAAGTAGAAAACATCTAAAAAATTGTTGTTAAGTTAATGAATTTAGTAACCATCCACCTGCTCACAGCTGCACAGATATTACAGGACATAGATACCACACGGGAAAACTTTCAAGAAGTGAAAAGGAGATGCTGACATCTGGTGGAAAGGCAGGGAATTACTCAATTGTTAAGCAACATGGAAAAAAAGAGCAGATTGATTTTGATGAGAATAAGATTGCCCCTAGATTGTTATGCAATCCCACATACAGATGCAGACAAATTCACATAAGCCTTGCATTCACAAAATCCATGGGGATGCAAAGCCCAGATGGAAACATTTAAATTCCTAAAAAATAAATTACAATCAAATGTTTCTTAAGCCTCACTGCAAACAGGTTTATTTTATCTGCCCCACAGGACAACATAGTGTCCCTGCTGGGACCTTTTTGATGGTGGTGAAGAATTAATAATGCTGACGCTTGTACAAAGGGATGTAACAGGCTCTTTCATTTTTGTAATTTTTGTAATTTATTTCAAGGATAGCCCCTTGAGATGCATCATCTCATTTTCAAGGGGGTCCTTACAAAACATAAATTAATCATCATAATACAAAATCAAAATAAAAGGTAAATCCAAAACATAATACCAAACATTTAAACACAGAGACACCCACACCACAAACACACACACACTCACATTCGCTCACACTTAATGCTCCCCCAAGTCTAGCCACCCACCAACCAGCCAGTGTTACACAATCAGAAAAAATCTGAAGAGAAAAAAATATTATATGTAATAATAAAAAAATAAAAAGAAAGAAGAAAGGAAAACCTCTGCATATATATATGCATACACACTATACAGTACTTACACACATAGTGTACGCAACATTAAGGCACAAGGTACAGAACAGTACATACATGTAGATATGAGGTACAAGCAGGTCCAGACAAACTAAGTTGAACAGAGAAAGAAAATCAAAAGCAAGAGCAGGATGTTTGACAATGAGTATGTAGAGATGATTTAAAGATATGAAAAGAGCTTTCCTCAGCTGTATTCCAATCTTTTACCTCATATGTGTCTATACAGGCTGCCTCAGATTTCAGACGCCCTCTCCTTCATTAAAGAGATTCTTCAGCAGCTGACAAATCAGAGAGCTTCCATCGAAGAGGACATCCAGTCCAGCTTTGAGGATCTGCACAAGCAGCTGGATGTCCGGAAGAGTGTTTTGCTGATGGAGCTGGAGGTCACATATGGTCTCAAACAGAAGGTACATACATCCTACATATCAGAAAGACTTAGCTGTAATTTATATTGTGGTGCTATTCTGAATTTGTGAGCTGAATAATCTTAGCTGAGCAATTAATTGTGTTTTTCAAAAACTTCTTATTGTTTTTGGGGAAAAGTAAAAGAAAATCTCATATCTGTCTCCAGGTCCTCCAGGCCCAGGTTGATAGCCTTGTCCGGGGGGAAGGTGACATCATGGCCTCTAGTACTCAGACGGAAGAGGCTCTGGCTGGGGAGGCATGTGTGGCAAGCCATCAGGTGGAACGGGAACTGCAAGAGAATCTTCAGGAGCTTGCCGGTCTCGGGCTACCATGTCAGCCAGAGGAGAACGATCAGCTGGATCTGATAATGGAGACTGACGGGTTAAGGAAGTCTATACACAACTTAGGGACCATCGTTACAACCAGGTTGTACAGTTCAAAATAATTAGGCCCCTGCTAAAAATACTTTTGTGTTTACTAACATTTTTGACTTGTCATCTGCTCATCATCAGTGCCGTGGCAAGCCAGAGTGAAGCCATGGGTGCAGGCCTGGAGCAGTGCATTGTGGGACATCCTTCCTCTGTTACCATAGTGACAAGAGACAAGTCAGGTGGAGCCTGTAAGAGTGGCAATGCAATCCTGTCAGCGGAGGTTAGCCTTACGCCCACATTCAAGTAAAATGTGGTAAAACACACCAAAATGACATCAAATAATCCTTGTGTTTATCCAGGTGTTCACCCCTGATGGAAGCATAGTGGACGGTGAAATAGTGGACCACAAGAATGGAACCTATGAGTTTGTGTACATAGTACCAAAGGAGGGTAACTTCTCATTGGCTCTTCGTCTGTATGACCAGCACATCAAAGGAAGCCCTTTCAAACTGACAGTCAGTGGCGCATTTGAGGCTGAAGTCGAGGTGAGTGGAGAGTGTGTGGGTTGGTGAAATCAGCTGTATGTCAAATATTTTAAACAAAGGTGAAAACAAAACAACTGTCTTGCACAGCCTCAACTGTCACGGTACACTTTAAACAAACCAGTTCATTATAAGTGTAAATTAAAGATGAGATAACTGAGGAAATATGCTTAGGACAATAAGTGTTAGATATATTGATACCATTGAAGTATTGAAACAAATATGATTGTTCAGAACACCCCTGACCCAAAGTCTGGTCTCGTCATTTTTAGGTCAGAATACACCAA